GTGCGTATACGTACGTACGTGCGCATGTGAGTGCGTGTCTACATGCGTGCGTGTGTGCTTGCATGCAAGTGCGGGATAGTGCGCACACGAGTACGCACGCACGTACGTAAGTGCGTGCGTGTGTGCGTGCATGCAAGTGAGGGTTCGTGTGCACACGCGTACGTGCGTATGTGCGTGTGTGCGTGCGTGTATATGTGGGAGAGCATATGCACCTGGACTTCCTAGCGCGCACTGCTTCCTACGTCGTTAAAATGAGGATTCATTGCCAAGTATCGTGTTAATTCCCGACCTAAAGGCGGCATCACAATTTCGCAGATGTACGCAGGCTCTTCTACCGATGGGCAAAACTAACATCGCTATAGCGTAGCTGGCATTGAACAATTCCCAAAACCATTCCCGGGCTAATATTATAGAACACAGTTATGCAATCAGACTAAGCCCGCCGACTGTTTACAAGGTGAAGTACACTTAGACGCGCATGGAAAAATATAAACGAGCGCAATTTAGACAAATATTATAAATAAATTAAGGGCGAAAATCAATTTGCTGTTGCACTTGTTCGACATCAAAATTATTATGACTTCAACCTCAGGGCGTACCCACGGTAAATCTTTACCAGACTGTTTAATCATGTATGAAATTGCTTTTACAATACTACGCGTTCATAAAGCACCATTAAGTCTTCCTTTAAGGGCAACAACCTAGCTCACAAAATACGGTTGGGCGCTCAAACATGGATAGTGTGTGTGTGTTGAGGCGTGAGTAAGCCTCTATAGTGTTCCTGTATTTAAATATTTTAAATCTGACACACTTGCTAAATTAAGCATAGAAACAGGTAGTGTCTACTTGCGGATATTTTTTATTTATATCTCTTACTGCATTCTACAGCTATCCGTGTTAAGTATAGAATACTTGCTTGCACCTTGTTTTTGACTTTGTATTAAAGCGTCCGTTATAAAACAGTAGGCAAACACTAACATCCGCCTCGCCCCATAGGCACAGACAACTGAGATTACGGTATGTAACATTCGTACTACAGATAACGAGGTGCACCGCTATTAACCACCTAATTAGTCTTAGTAGGATCAATCAACAAAAAAATTATCGCGCGAGACATAAGCCCGGATATAAGATTTCGCATCAAACTATCGAATGATGGAACAACGTGCAGGATTGTGGATACAATATTAACAGTAGAGCCTACTAGAGGTTAGTAGCAACATTACGTGTCTGGCAGTGATGTCACGCGAAACATGAACACATGATTTATATCTGCCAGCATTATTGTATAAATCGAGGATAAACGAAAGTATAAACAAGAGAAAAATCGTCAATTAGAACGACGACGAGAGGAATGTCTGTAAACGGATGTGTAGTGTAACCAGTAGAATGAAGGTATAAAGTCAAAACTTGTTGTAGTAACCGGAATAAACTTTAATAACGCAGACACAGTGTCGTCGCATCGCACAAAGAGACAAAGAACGCCGCACACGCGCATACGCGCGTGTGCTCAGCTCCGCGCCCAGAACCCGAACCTCCCCTCCCTTCCTATTACATCTCTCCCTATATATTCGCCCAAAACTCCCTACATCTTGAGCGCACATGTCACCCGTTCTGTCCAGTTCCAACCGTTCCCCTCATTTCACAATCACCCTAGAAACTGCATAACCTAACTATTTCTCATCTGTATGCTAAACGCCGAACCCTGCTTCTATGTACAACTAAATCTATCTACGATTACTAATTCAATGAACATGTGTAAAACACACGTTACAGTAGTGTTCTATTGTTTTCATATATCGTTTTGCCAGGTGGAGGGACTCCTGATTCGGGGAATAAACGTGGAAGTTGAGTTTCACATATCTGCGTCCTCTAATTTATTGGAGTAAGAGTTATGTAAGATAAAGATATCTACTATAATTCATGTAGTAAGAGAGATACAACAGGATGAAAGAGGAAACGTGTAGTCGGCTGATCCCTCAGCACTGGCCGTAACTGAGACATGTGTTTATGTGTTCTAATGCCAAACGTATTCTATATCGTGTATACTAGTAAGCAATGTCTAATGTAATTAATTAATTATGTAATTAGTGTCTAAAAGCTTGAGCGCAAATACTTCCAAATAAGTAATCTTACGCCGTGTAAAGACGGTAGAAATTTCAATGAAAAAGATGACGACCCCTATTAGTTTACTAAGACGCCTACAAATCGAGAACTATCTCAATTCTGTAAACGAATGTCTGAAATAAAAGGAAATAATCGCACGGTTTTGCTATCGGCCAGCAAGTCGATTTTTCCTAACATTCGCAGGGCGGGGAAACCAGCCAACCCAATACGCACAATTGCAGTGTTTGATTTACGACAATTGGCAGAGGTGTGAACGACATGCTGAACAAGCCTGTCTGGCAAGCACGGACGACCAGACTCGTCCCTTGTGTGAAGTAGATTAACCGATTTCGATATGGAGTGTGAATTCTGAAGCGATTGTGTAAGGCGTTGACTTTGAAAATGATTTTAGAGAAATGGTTACATCTCAATGTGCATAACGCTACCATCATGGCAAATTCTGTTAAAGTTTAAAATTATTGGCATGTAGATGTACGTAAATGTAATAATATACATCACGTCTGCATTTTAAGGAAGGAAGTGAGGAGATGAATCATCGGTGTTCATGGCAATAATATGACTTCACTTGTGATAAAAGTTGACGAATTCAATCGGAATGGAAAAGGGGGGCGAATATGCGATAATTAAGTGCATATAGACATGAGCGTCGAGAGACTCGATCTGAAATAGGTACAACAATCAAGAATACAGAATTATTCAAACGTTATCTCATGTACAGATCGGCCGTGCTAAGGATAACAACCGAGAACTGAAACTGCTCGGAATACTGTCTTTCACGTGGTGGATGAAATCCCACAAGCCAAATATTATATGGATAGCTAATTATAGCTGTACGCGTACGGATGCGCGCCAGGCTATTTGTTTAATGATAATGATATTTGCTTACATTCTAATTAGTGCCGGTGTGTGTGTGTGTGTGTGTGTGTGTGTGTGTGTGTGTGTGTGTGTGTGTGTGTGATATATATATATCCTTTTATCTAATGCAATTTAATATACATTAGGCACACATAACTGATTATTATCAACACTCATTTACACGTTCGAGTTCTTTGTTAGTCGTTTATAGCGAAGATCGATAGGTAATCTGACATATTGCAGCCACGGACAACCTTTCATAGATCAACATGGCCAAAAAGTTAGCTGATATTTCCTGCGGCGATCGTGACTGCGTTATTTGACAATTCGCACCATGAAGTAGCGATTACTAACTGCAATTACAAATTAATGGAGCACCGTTCACGCTGTGATCAGATGCTGTAAATACTTATTAGCTGTACTCACGTGTTTAGTTTACCTAACCTCAACTTGTAGTCATGACGCCAACCAGAGTACCAACACTCGACCGTCCACCCCAACAATTGTTTTTCAATTTATAATTTCGTTCTATAAAGTGAAGTGGATACGTTAGTGATCACGAGTAATCATCTAATAGCAATGACGGCGGCGTCTGCTGACGGTTTGAACATCAAATACATACCTGCATCTAAAAAATCGGAGGTCTTTTTTTCCTAAATTTTGAGATGGAGTACATGCAATTAATGTAATAGTAGATTAACATTGTTTAGCTACTATTGTTGATAATAGCTACAGCTGGCTATCCATCTTGAACCCACATAGAGCAGCCTGTCTCCGTAGCACCGTGTCTGAATTGGATCTTGATCTCAAAGGTAGGTTATATTTCTCCTGATATAATAAAGCTTACTGTGACAAGGAATTATACTTTTATCTAAATAAATGCAGAAATAATCGCGGTGATGTAGTGGCGTGATGCTAATTGTTCACTCAAGCCAATATCAAACGCAGTCGCTGTCAAATGTTTAGGAATTGAACGAAGAATATTGCATAGCGATATGCCGTGAAGACCGCAATAGGCCGCAATATGCCTTGAAAACCATGTATAGTGGCATAATAATGGTGGGCAATATTATGGCACGGACAAGCTATCGATTATCTCATATGGCAGCTGTAGAGGCTATATGCACGTCGGTATCAACTATAATACTACATTATTTATCATTATCAGACATTTAATGGCTAATATACATACGACCGAAAATCCATTTTTTTGCTCGACTGTAACACGGACGCATATAAGCTGCAACGTTAAAATGATAACACATAATTATGTGACAACGCTATACACACCATCACGTAATAATATCAATCGTCATGCAATGTGACGATATTTAGTTCAAAATGACTGGAAAATAGTACCTTGTCAAACGTGGCGTAGGTCAAAATAATATAGCAACATAAACTGGCTCGACGTAATAATTGCCAGCAGAGAATGAAGCGATTTCAACCTAATGTATATATTCGTAAAGTAAAATTGATTACATTACTATCTTTGCTATTAATGAGGGTCTTTCTTCATGTTTGAAATGGAATCTCATTTGTATGAACTTCAAGTTTTCACAGCCATAATGGATTTGGCACGATTTTTGGCGCATGGAGCAAAATTTATAACATGATTCTTGCCTCATGAGACCAGTTGCTGATGAACTAACTTGAATTATACGCACACATAGGGGAAGGTCGCTGTGCTAGATTCACGATTAAAACCCGAATTTCAGATTGAAGAAAATATAGACTTTTTACTGTCTTTCGCTTTTTAATCATTATCGAAAATATTCATGCCTGAGTTATGCGTTTTATCACGTTTTATTATGTTGTGTCGTGTCGTGTCGTGTCGTGTCGTGAACATACATACATACATACATACATACATACATACCCACACACGTACGTACGTAACCGCATGCGCGTACACACACTCTCTCTCACGTATAAATAAATAAATAAATAAACAAATAAATAAATAAATAAATAAATAATTAAATATATAAACAAATAAATAAGTATGATATACTTACTGTGCGTCGCCCATATGTGTGACAGATGAATGAGAAGTAGACTCCAGTAGACAGCACCCGATAGCCGGCGCATAGCTCTAATCAACTCACCTGCAACATTCGACAAACGATCATAAATCAATCATCTATCTATCTGTGTGTCTGTCTGTCTGTCGGTCTGTCGGTCGGTTTGTTATTCTGTCTTTCTGTCTGTCGGTCTATCTGTCTGTCTGTCTGTCTGTCTGTCTGTCTTACTGTCTTTCTGTCTGTCTTTCTGTCTGCCTGTCTGTTTGTCTGTCGGTCGGTCGGTCTGTCTGTCTGTATGTATGTCTGTCTGTCTCTCTGTCGGTCGGTCGGTCGGTCGGTCTGTCTGTCTGTCTGTCTGTCTGTCTTCCTGTATGTCTGTCTGTTTGTCTGTATATTCCTCCATCCATCCGTCCGTCTGTCTGTCTGTCTGTCTGTCTGGCTGGCTGGCTGTCTGTCTGTCGGTCGGTCGGTCGGTTTGACTGTCTGTCTGTCTGTCTGTCTATCTGTCTGTCTGTCTGTCCCTCCATTTCCCGTCCGTCTGTCCGTCCGTCCGTCCGTCTGTCTGTCTGTCTGTCTGTCTGTCTGTCTGTCTGTCTGTCTGTCTGTCTGTCTGTCTGTCTGTCTGTCTGTCTATCGGTCTGTTTGTTTGCCTACCTGCCTTCCTGCCTGACCGACCTACCAGCCGACCGGCTGACCAGCCGACTGACTGCCTGCATGCATGCCTGAATGCCTGTCTGCATGCCTGACTGCTTGTTTGTATGCCTGACTGCTTGTCTGTATGCCTGAATGCCTGTCTGTATTCCTGTCTATCTGTCCTTGCACCCATTCGCCATCTAATATACCTGTCTCCAAAGGCATTCAGACGCGCGTGCACATATGAATCCGTCAGTTAATCCAGCCGGCTGCTGTTCGTTTCTTTCCTCGTGCATTTAATCTTTCTTTCTCTCTCTCGCTCTCTCTTTCTCTCTGTCTCTCTATCTCATGCTTTATTATATCTCTCTCTCTCTCTCTCTCTCTCTCTCTCGCTGTATGTATGTATGTATGTATACGTGTGTGTGTGGGTGCGTGCGTGCGTGCGTGCGTGCCGTGCGTGCGTGCGTGTACATGTGTTAGTGTGTTTACGTACTATGTGTCAACAGATGTGACATTATGTCCCACCTGACTTGTGATGATATATGTTTCCCGCTTGCACCCCACGCGATAACTAGATTGTCCGTCCCTGCACATCCTTACGACGATATGTCTACCGAAACATGCAGCCATGCGAATGCAATGGCACTGGATCAGTGACAGCAACGAAGTAGTGGTTTTTTTTCTGCGCGCTCACGGGGGATAGGTGCCGCAAATTAATTGTGTACAACGCATGCTAATATCAATAAATGTGTTCCGACAAAGTAATCGTTGTGTTGAGATCGAATTAACAAAAGTATTTAGAACGATGTCGTTAACTGTCGGAATCTGTAAAGGCGACGTCCACAACGAATGGGTATTTGTCGATCGATGTCAACGAGGAAGTAGAGTTCGCAATGAATAAATGAATGCACGCACGAACGCCGCTGACAAATGCATTAGCTTCGTAATGGCACAAGGCATGTTATAATGCACGATTGCTACTCGTGTACTCTGCTAGGCCATTTAGGCGAGGTCTTCCTTATCATCTTGATATATTTTCCTAATCTGAATTACATTCCTTGAAGACCCCTGCGCTCCCCATAGGAAATGCATGCGGTTGATCATAATGGATTATGAATGTGGAAAGGGGGCATGCCAGTTAGTACACGCTCTGGCACATCACGACAAAATTTTATTTTTAGATGTGTTTAACGCTTTCAACAAGTACGTCAATTAAACAGAATAGAACAAATCTAGATGTTTGACCATGCCAACATGTCACAATCACCTATACCCTAGCGGATACGCGTGCCATCTTTCGAACCTAATACAATCATCGACATGACAACTACGTTAGGAACGCAGTGTCGTAAATTACACGTGCTTACTAATTTCGATGTTAGACGCGCTCTTACTACGATGACGACATCAGTGTACCTGCAGTACGAGTAATAAGCTACGCAGCTCCGCTCGTCCACGATCGCCAATGAATCATCCTAATGGAAACACACGCGCCTTGTCTGAGCTTCGTCGACCATCGATTTGGCACTTACGACGCCGACATGCAGCGTGTGATGTTCTCGCCGGTAGGCTATGATAGATCTGGACGACGTCGCTCAGCTGTACGCATTTCTAATCCGATCATATGCTGATTGTACATGCATGCATGCCCCTGGCAACTTACAAAAGCAATACCCGACGCCGTTCTGAATGTGATGGCGGCGCATATGTGTCGTGTGTGGCTTCAGGTGGCATGCTCGATTTGCCGCGTCCATATTCATGACCGCGTGGCTCAATGTTTCGCGCATAATCATCATGTGGCCCTTTAGCGCGGGTAGCGACGCGGTGCTAGGCGAGGGCTGTTCGCAGCAGCACGATAAGCTGTTAGATTGCAGGGCGCAGCTAGATCATAGTGTAACACTGTAAGTAAGAGCAATGGATTAGCGATACTTTATATACGCTGACAGCATGAATGACACATGTCACCATCGTTACATTAGAGACAAGGAGGCGCATTAATCATTATTCGAAACGTTGTTTGAAGCTGATATTTGGAGAGGGACTACTTTAGTGCAGGTGATATCACCAGCTGTATATGAATAGAGATTCTCTATTTGTGCACTCCTGATATTAGTAAAGCAGCACATTTACCGTCCGTGTGTTATAAACAACGGTAGGTGAGCCTGTGACAAAGTTACGTTGCACACTACTGTTGTACATTGATGAGTCTGTTATTATATTCAGTTTAGATAGTGTTTAAGATAGATGTAATATATCATGTCTAACAGCTTCGAGAGATTATGATCTCACATCACATTACGTAAGGGAGCACAATAAAAGCTAATTTTTCCTGAATAGGATAATAATTAATTACAGCAATTTGTAGGAATTGCATTTGCTAATGCACACTCTTATTTTCACGTATTATTTCATTAGTAATGTATCAGATTTATTGCAGATGACTAGAATCGTTCACTTTTGTCAATTTGTATAGGTAATTCACTTCATCTCATTATTATTAGACCACATTTTCGTGCGCATTATGTCTTGAGAAGTCGTTATAATTACCATCGGGGTTACTTCATCGAGTCCGTTAAAATGCCATGGCTGATTCTGACGATAAGAACTAAACTAGCGCTTGATAAATATTATATTTAAATCCGCCTGGAGTAGAACAATGGTCCTAGTTAGGTATAAATCCAAATTATGCATTGAAAAAGCAGGCGTTGATTCAGTTAACTCATGCGAGATTTGATTACATGGTATTTCGTTAACAGAATAAATTTTAATTCGGACATGTGCAATACAAAAGATTGAGTTCGAAGAAATACCAATTTACCATATTTATTGCGTTTGTTTTTAGTAATTTGTTTTCAATTTCATCGCTAAAGCTGATCAGGCTGTTCGATATCAACGCGTTATCTGATCAAGAACACTTCTGCGTGCAGTTGATCAATAATGCTTGCGATAAGCAAGTCTTTGAGCAGTATTTAATCCACTGCCAAGGCTCCGGGATCACGGGGGAGATGCGGTAGTTAATAAAGCTGTTCTCATAAGAAAGAGCATCCACTCGAAGTATTGCGCTATATGTACCGTGAAGGAAAAATATCACCGTGTGCCGGTCAGTTATCTGACTTTTCGCAATATATCTATATTTGCATCTATATTGGCGCACGTCATAAATCCTTGTCTCATTGTGACGGCCCTCAATGATTTGCGAATTTTATGTAAGGTAACAATGCGGGGGTTTGCTTGCTATCTCACCACAACTACAATAATATATAATAATTCCCCTTAATTATGTATCTTACGTGTAATGTGACTGGTATAGATCTACGCTCTCCAGATTCACGCTCAATTCGGTCTCATCTAAGGCGTTGACGACACAAGCGGCCTGCTAAATGGTGGATGCTTAACCGTTGACAGCACTGCCACCTAGCGTGTCATTCGGCGTGTTGCTACGCTGCCAGTACTTCTCGAGCCAACACTCGCTTTCTGACGCACCGAACGGACAACGAATTACAAGTGCGTCGGGTGAATTCAGCCTGCGCGCTCGATCGATCGTCTAATGTAGATCACAGCACCGGGAAGAAATCAACAAAATGTCTGTAGCCATTTGCGTCTATTAAATCAGATCTTCGCCACTCTCTACTCGCTTCGTGCGAATTTCGATCCGTTGTTACTGAAACAAAAAGTATCATCTTGCTATCGGGCCATAGCAGATATCCCGATAAATCATAAAATCGTACTCAATGGGTTATTGTCCCACTCACTCGCTCATTCGCTCGCTCGCTCGCTCGCTCACTCACTCACTCACTCACTCACTCACTCATGTGTGTGTGTGTGTGTGTGTGTGTGTGTGTGTGTGTGTGTGTGTGTGTGTGTGTGTGTGAATACAGAGTGCGCGTGCATGCATGCATGGTGTACGTCTGTCTGTGCGGCGGGCGGTGTCAGGGGCGCAGTAACTTACGTAATGGCCCAGCCGATAGTCGCGCGGATGATGTACATACGCGGAGCATGTCTCCGGTGTGGCTTTCCGACGGTTAAGCGGCGGATATATAAACGACACATCTGTACGGGTTTCATCGCTAAACACATGATTCCCTTCATTGCGCGTGTGCGGGGCAGGATATACCGTAGATTACTGCGCACATGTTGAGCCACTGCGATTTCGTTTTAAACCGAGAAAGAAGGTCTTCTTTTCATCACAGAAGCTCGTTCTGTATAAATATTGACCACAGTATGTCTTGACAGGGCGCGTGCTCGGCAGAACCATTAAAAATAACACGTATATTCCGCGGTGTCGCTCGCTTTCTAACACTGCGCAATCAAACACGACACTTGAATTGGCCGCATGTTGGCTGTAAAATCGAGTCACGATTCATGCTCCGCGGTGTGGATCGTACCGTAAAAATAGCGTTTCACTTACCGCTACATGAAGCGTATAGTATAGCATGTGTGCGAGCTTCGCA